CTTTGCCACATTTTCCGCTGTGTGTTGCTCCACTGCTGCTGCAACCGCGTATCTCGTAACGTACTCAACTGCAGCGATAACATATCGTTGTCCACCTCCTGTCTGTGGAAGAGGTCCTGCGACGTCCAACGCCCAGCGGTCTCCAACTTCTCCACCGCGTAGACTTCGTAATGTAGGTACCACTTCTCTCGGTCGTGCTTTACGGCTTCCACACTCCTGGCACCCGGCCACCCACCGTTTAACCTCTCTTTGTAAGTTTGGCCACCAATAGAGATGAGCTATGCGTGCATATGTATGTGGGCTCGTAAATGCCCTGACCATACAGAATCATGACAATCTTTGAACACTAGAGACCATAGTTCAGGCGGTAGTACGACTCGCCTTCCGTTAGCAGTCTCGATAAGTGCCAACCCGTACTCCGTTTCAATCTTCATGCCCTTATGCATCCCAGCCTCCGGTAGCTTCTGGACTAATCGACTCCGGCCTTGAGCTTCACTGATCATCGTATCCGTGAGCTGAAGAGTCATGACTTCTTCGTGTTGCCGTTTGTCTCTCTTTACTTGTCCTGCCCTTCGCTCTTGGCGTTGCTCAACTGTTTTAGATCTCTCACCGATTCTCGACGTTTGGCTCTTCGCTCTCGTGTCCTTGTTCGTTACACCTCGATACTCGCTACGTGCATTACTCGGTCGTCCTCGTTCTTGCTGTAATGTGTGTCCTGCATGTACAGCAGACTCGATAAGTTCTGGTTGCTCACGTAACTTGCCTTCTTCAGTCCGAGCACGATTCCGGTGGTTGCTCACTGCCGTTCGTCGTGGTGCCCCGGCTGGCGGCATCACCTTCTCTCCTTCCGTAGCCGTCGTGTTCGTCCTACTCTCGACATCGTCCATGGCCCACGTAACACGTCGTTTTGGCTTCTTCGTGTTTTTGTTGCCCTTGGTCTCGGCCGTCCTGCTCAACTCGTTCTGTCTTTCGTTACTGTCGTCCAGAACTTCGTCACAGTCTATCATTACCACGTTTTGCCTTGCTTCTGTCACCGTCCTTGGCATCTCGTTACCTTCTGTGACGTCGTCCACGCGTGAGGTCTTGCCCGCCGTCGTCGCTTCATCGACGTTCTTGTCCTCGGCTGTCATCTTTTCGCGTGCATTGCGCTCTACGTCTTCCTGACGCCTTCTTTTAGCTCATGTCATCGGTCTTGACGAATCCGGCGGCACTGGCTGTCTCGCGGCCCTCAGTGGTGCCACAATCTTCGCCGTTGCCATCAGTTCTGGCCGTACTTTCGTCGAGTCTTGGCCTGTTGCCTCGCCGTCGTGAGCCATCGTTCGTGTCCCCTCCATGTTGATCGGTGGTGCCACGGTCACTTCGGCATCGTTCGCGCCTTCTTCAGTTGTGCCTCTAGCGCCGTCATTATATTGCTTCCTGTTACCCTCCTTACTCCGCATCTTTTGAAAATCAGAGTGCCCTTCACTGAATGTGCGTCGTCGTCCTCGTCTCTTCCGGCCAGCTGCTGCCAACACGTTTGCCGGAGCGCGAGATAGCGCATCTGCTACCACGTTGGTATTGCCAGGACGATATTCCACCTCAAAATCGTACTCTTGGAGCGTAAGATCCCAGCGATGCAATTTTCCGGTTAGGTTTGTGCTTGTCATCAACCATTTGAGTGCTGCATGATCGGTGACGATCACAAATCATCTTCCATAGAGGTAAGGTCTAAACAACTTGATCGACCACACTACTGCAAGACACTCCAGTTCTGTGATCCCATAATTTGCTTCCGTGTTGCTATTCACTTTACTTGCAAATACCACTGGTTGCCAGCCCTTGCCTTGATCTTGCATAAGGCATGCGCCGAGACCAACCTTGCTAGCATCAGTAACCACTCTAAACGGTAGTCGGAAATTCGGGTAAACCAGCAATGGCTTGCGAGTTAAAACGACTTTAACATGCTCAAAAGCTGCTTCTTGCGCTTCCGTCCACTCCCATTCAGCATCTTTTCGCAGAAGCTTGGTCATTGGAGCCATCAATGCGCCAAACCCTTCCACAAATCGTCTGTAATAACCGGCAAGATGTACGAAACGTTTAACTTCCACAGCATCAGTAGGTCGTGGAAATTCCCGTACCGCAGTCACCAACCTATCGAGTGGTCGAACGCCTTTAGAACTGAGTTCGTGTCCAAGATACTCCATACTTTCAGTCGCAAATCGGCATTTCTTTAGTCGTAGTGTAAGACCAGCGGCTGCCAAACTCTAATACACAAGCGACTTCCAACACATGCCGTTCGATCCCACCGCGAGTGTAGATTACGATATCATCCAGGTAGACTAAGCAGGTGAGCCACGTCAGACCTCGAAGAACACTATTCATCATTCTCTGGAACGTTGATGGAGCATTTGTAAGCCCAAAAGGCATTCTAACAAACTGATATAGGCCTTGTTTTGTCGTAAAAGCAGTCTTCTCTTTGTCTTTAGCTGCCACTCGAATTTGCCAGTACCCAGATCTTAAATCTAGAGTCGTAAATGAGACTGCTCCACCCAATGCTTCCAAGGTTTCATCAATTCTTGGTAAGGGGTAGACATCCTTCCTCGTTATCTTGTTCAGAGCTCGATAGTCCACACAAAAGCGAATCTTGCCGTCTTTCTTTCTTACCAGCACTACAGGAAACCCCCAAGCGCCGTTGCCTTCTTCAATTACGCCTGCACCCAACATCTTCTTGACATTCGTCTCGCCCACAGTGTCCTCCATTTGTGCAAGTCGTTTGCGTTTTAACAGAATAGGGGCCTCGTCGCCCGTCTCTATTTGATGCTCCACGTCGAGTGTAGTAGCAGGTGGGCAGTCACCTTTGTCCGCTACTTGGCTCCTATATACCCTCAGCAAACGCTTCATGAGCTCTCGTCCACCTTCGTCTTCGATGCCAATTTGTAGCTCGTCCTCATTTTCCAACGGAGTCTCACCATCTCCCAATTCACGCAACCATCCCAGCAATTGATCGCGTTGTAAGACGCCATTCATTTCGAGGATCTCCACATTTTCCTCGATAGGAATCCACGTCCCTATTTCTTTCTTTGAAGGAAGCTTGACCCTACCACCACTTGCATTAATGGCGGGCACCACTGCCTTTCCGTCCCGAACTTCCGTCATTGTCGTAGCCAACAAGATGGATCCCAGACAAACTGTGGGTATGAAGATGCCTTTTTCTCCATCCTCGCCTGTCACCGCAATCTCTATGGGCATTACTGTACCTCCACGAACTTGGGTTTTTCGCGCCATGCGTACTGCTGCAACCTTCACACCTTTTGCCGCTTCACTAGTCTTGAACGGTATTACTACCGGACGTCCTTCTTCCTCATATTTCAGCTCATTGGTCCGAAAATCCATAACAGCGCCGTGATCGTTCATGAAGTCCACGCCAACTAGGAATTCGTTGTAGCAACCCTTGACTATGCATGCATCCACGCACACGGTATCGCCAAACATGTTCTCCAAATGGAAACGCCATACTCCTAGAACGTCTAGTAGGAATCCTCCTATTCCTTCGACATAATCCACTGGTGCGGAGCACGACACTCTGTCTCCGTACTTCACCCAACTCGTGCCAGCGATGGTGAACCTGGCTCCACTGTCAAGCTTCACGTACTTTGTTACACCGTCGATCTTCATTCGTGCTGTAGGTAGTAGCTTCCACGTCAGATACCTTGCTTTCGGCTCCTTCGGGACTGCATCGTTGTACAAGGCTAACTCGTGCTCGTCCGCCTCTACCTGGTTCGCCCTCTTCATTCCGTCCTTGTCGACGTTCCTCCAGTTGTTGAACTGCGTCTTCGACTTGTCGTTGGCGGTCTTGCTGTACTTCAACTTTATTGGCTTGTTGCCGTTTGTTCTCTTACGTCGATTCTCCAACGCACGCTTCACTCGCTGCCGTTTCTTCTGATTACAGGCCAATTTCCTGGCCACCCGCACCTTGGCAATGTCTTTGTTCACCTTATCGTCATCACCCGTGCCATAATTGTTGTCAGGGCCAACATTCTCGACGCCGTCTTGCGGTCGCGTAGCGTCCAAACATGCATACCGCATGGCCGTCATCGCTGGACGTACTGTTGCTACATAGCAAGCGGCCCGCTCACTGTCCTTCCCGGCTGCCTCGGTAGCCATACACCGCCACATTTCCTCCAGCGAGTCTGCGCCACTTGTTGCCATCGGCTTCGTTATCTCTTGCACGTCCTTTCCGTTAGTGGCGTCTCCCGATCTTTGGTCTTCCTTTAGCTGCCGGTCCTGCTGTCGAACTTCACACTCGGTCGACCTTCCTTGCTGTATCCCGTCTTGCTTCGTCTCCGCTGACGCCGTTGTCACGTTGGTGTTTACCGTCATTCCTTGAGCTCTTGTCCCGCTACCTTGGACGTCTGAACTCATCATCAGCCGGGAATCGTTATTCTCCGGTCGCCGTAACCCCTTTACTGCGCCGGTTCCGCGTTTCCCGCCACCTTGTTGTCGGTCTTACGTTTCCGTAGATTCTCCTCGTTCTTGGCCTTAGCTTTCGGCATCGGTACATTTCTTGGCCATGTGACCGTACTGATTACATGCGTAGCATTTGGGCCCCGTTGGGCACTGTGCTGCCCAGTGTCCATTCTTGCCACACTTTCAGCATGCTTGTGAATTCTGCGGTACTCTCGGCTTCCCTGGTGTCTGTGTACTACCACTGCGTTGCTCTTGTCGAGGTACTGCTGCTTGTCGTACAGCGGCTTTCTGTTTCTTGCGCTGCGGTTTCACATCTGACTCGTCGCTGCTCGATGTCGGCGGTTCAACTCTCGTCTTCTGCGCCTTCGCTGGCTTCTTGGTTTCTTTCTGTGAGCTTCTGGCTGCATTCTCGGCAGAGCGTTTCCGGCTGGCTTTCTTGGATTCATACCAGAACTTGCCATTCCATATGCAACCCGATGGCACATCCCACGTGCCTGAATACTCGTTCCATACGACTTGTGGGCTCGTAAAGAGGGCTAAGGTGCCGTGCTCTCCCTCCGCAGCTGTCATCCCACCTTCATTCGCGACTTGCAACTCTGCTGGCAATCCTGTTCCGCCAATCCCCGGAATTACTAACGTTTGCCTGGTTGTGCCACCAACTGGTACCAGATAAGGACTTGGGGATATGGCCCACGGCTGTCCTATGTTCAGCATGCCTTGCGCCACATTATCCATGGGATCGTCGATTTCATTGGCTTTATCTACAGCCTCTTCCAAAGTTGCAGGCTTCGGTCGCTGCTTCACCAATTTCTTCGTAGTCTTATCCAGATTGCGGTAAGACTGCGCCAATAGAATGCGTTCACTGACTTTGTTACGACCAACTACATCTCGCAATGCTGCCGCGAAATCAGAGTACGTCTCTCCAGGCATCATCCTGCGCATGTTCACACGCCATTATGCTGCCGACTTATCCAGCCTATCACCATAACGTCGTAGAAGTGCTTTCTTTAAGTAGACCCATGTCCGGTCACGTGATGGCAATCGTCGATCCATTTTCACCCACCAACGTGCGGCATTGTCCATAAGCTTGTTTCCCAAGATAAAATACAACGCATGGTCTGACCATTTCCCACGTCGAGACTCAGCGGCTCCCTTCAAGGCTAAGTCCACCCTGTCTATCCACGTCGAGACAGAGACCTTTGGCGAGGGGGTGAAGGTCGGTAACTCTAGGTCCTTCACGCTCCTGCGACTGGATTGTCTTTCATCATCTCCATGTCGTCCCCGTTGGACTTGACGCCTCCGTCGTTCTCCTCGTACATGTCGCCCATGCCTTCCGTGTCGCCGTCGGCTTTCCTGACGCCCTCGTTGCTCATCAGACTCGGCTGACCCATCACTGGAGGCGCTAGAGCTTTCACTCGGCTCGCTACTGTCGTCTCCGCTACTGCCGTCGCAATCTGGATTCACCCCGCTGTAGTCGACTCCACTATCGTTATCATCAGGAGTACTCCAGCCCGACGAACCGCTGTCTCCACTATCACCGTTGTGACGCGCTTCACCAGCACGTGATCCACTGCGTCGCAATACCCGTCGACCAGCTTGGAACCTCTGGGTTCTCGAAGGAGCAGGCTACAGCTTCGCGACCACAGTCGTTAACGTCTGAATGGCGGACGCCATCGCTGTCATGTCCACGTGGTTGTTTGGTGCAGTGCCGCCACTCACGGCTGTACTGGCCACCAATTCAGCACCATGATGATCCTCATCATTGCTTTGTTCATCGGGTTCTCCATCATCACTGGGCGCACGACGCACTCTCTGTGCACGGCGTCGGTACTTCCCACGTGCATGTCCATGTCGTCCTTCCTTGTCAGCTCCACTGACCTCCTTGGTTGACGCTTGTAGCTCGGCTACGGCTCTCGTCAGTCGCTGCATTGTGGCTGCCATGCCCATAGTATCCTTACTTTGCATTCCTGCCGCGTCTTCGCCACTGATTTCCGCTTCGCGGCTCCGCGTGCAGTCCTTCTCATCAGTGGCTATGACCCGTCCGAGTTCCTTGGCATCCTTATATCTTCGAGGTCGATCGCTGCTGATTCGCCGACGCTCTCCGTTTGATCTTCACCGGCTTCGCTTCCGCCTGTTCCACCGCTTGCCCGGCTGCTTGCCGCTTGTCCTCTCCCTTTCGTGTGCTCACCGGAACGGCCACTTTCCGTACGCCTTGGCTTCTCGTCACCGGACGCCCAGACTCGGTGTAGCGGGGCTGCCGTAGCTTTAGCGTCAGAGGAAGACGTTCGACTCAACGAGTCACTGATACTAAGTTCCTTATCCAAAGGACACTTACAGCCCAAGACCAGGGCTCAAAGTTAACACCTTAACTTTTATGCTTCAAAACCAGAAGTCTTTTATTTACTATTATTGCGGCCAAGCCGCCTAGGGGTAAATGTATCTCTTTAACTATCTAGCATAGTTAAACCTAATCAAATGCATAACGTGTGGCTTTCAGCCAACGTACTGAGAGACCTTGTTAACTCTCCAACTTATGTACTGAGAGTTTGTTAACTCTCCGGGTACTTCGTACCCCTGTGTGTTCCACACCATGTAACCCCGTTACACTCTCCCTCACTAAGATGAGAACATACCGTTCTCGAACTTTCCTCAGCGAGGTCACGTCTTGTCAAGACGACGGAGGTCACTAGACCTCACCTCTGCGTTCTGCAGCTCCACGAGCTCACAAACGCGTTCGCATCCTTGATGCCTGGCACTTCCACTCCGGCCCACGGCCCAACGTCTCCAGCGCGTCGCGCCGCCCCTGCCTCGTCGGTCCCAGACCCCCAACTGCGCTCCGCAACTGCTCCAAGAGCATCTTCGTCTCTTTCGGTGGCACAGTACCACCAAGAGTATCGCCGTCGCCACGGTCAACGCTCCATGAGCCGTCAACAAGAAGAGAGCAAAGCTCAAAGCTCGTCAGAGCCGCGGGCGCCGCCCAGAGGGAACGATGTTCTGTTCTCGGAACTCGAAGAGGGCGAAGTCGATTACGACGAGCCCATGGGTAGTGAGGATCACTCCAACCCAACCTCTCCGAGGTCGCACACTGGTGCCGCGTCTTCCCCAGCTTCCTCTGTGAGGTCTAGCCGCTCAACGGCGCAATCTCAAACAAGAAGAGACCTGCGGACACCGCATCCGTTCTCTGAACGTTCGAATCCGATTCGCTCGCTGCGCGATGCGCCACCGCTATCGTCGCGGTATGACGAGGAAGATCGATACGATCACAACGTCATTACGAATGACCTGGACGAGGCCCAAGGCCGTCAGTTGTCCAATGAGCAGCGCTCGCAGTCGTTCCGACCTGTGGTCCGACCACTTGTTCTAACGTCACGCCGTGACTACGGCTTCCAGCCGCGGAACCCTGCCGAAGCGGCCCGCCTCGCGGCGCAGCAGCCGCTGAACACGTACACGTGTGGGCCTGCGGCCTCGACTGCTGATGAGCAAGTGCAACGGCACCGGCTCCGAGAGCGATATCTGACTCCACAAGTCACAACTCCTCAGGAGTATCAGGCGCGCCTGCATATGCAGCTCAACCGCCAACCGGTTCCCTCCATGCGAACCATTCCGGGTTGTTCTCAACCCTGGGGAATCCCAGCGTGCTTATGAAGCACAATTTCCGAAGCTGGGTGGAGGGAGCTCGACGGCTCCTCCTCCTACAATGCTCTTCGAGCAAGTTTCTCTGAAACTGATATTCGTCTTGAGAGACGTTTGCGCTTAGACTTTGCTAAGTCGAAAGCACGTCGACAGACACTGGGACCCCGTCCCCATCACCTCGAGGCGTCACCACCTCTTGCTCATGCTGCGAGCGCCGCTCATTCCTATGAGCCGGCTGCTACAGCCACTGGTCGGAGCTTGAGCTCAGCCACCGACCTGTCCTCCCCGCGTTCTAGCGGCGGGAAGCGCTCGGCGCCTGACGACGCGGTCGTACGCCGTAGCGGCAGGGCAGTGAGTGTGCCCGATCAAAAGCGTCGACGACGTCAGGGCAGTCCTGCCGGAGGACAACCTCAAACTCCCAAGCGTTTTGTGAGTGAGGATAACCCCTCCATTTCACAAGGTACTGAGTACGACCCTGGCGCATGCGCCTCACCATCAGGCGTTCCACACGGAAGTGGAGCTCGCCGTGCTCATCGAGCAGAGCAGGAGGAGGCCGAGCCTCAGCTGGACTCTCGCGTCGCGAGTCGCAGCGACGTGTTCGCGCTGGAGCAGCGTGTGGGTTCTCTGAACCGGTATCTCCATGATACGACTGACTCTCTGAGTCGCCTTGCAGATGGTCTCGATGAGACGAACCACCGCGTGGACTGGTTTGAACAACCACAGTCGGTTCAGAACCGAGTCGCGGACCTTGAGCGTCAAGTCGCTCAGCTGCAAGGTCAGATCGACTTGCTGTTGCGTCTTGTGGCCCCGCCACCTGCTGTCGCTCAGCCCGCCGGTGCTCGGCCTCCCGCTGTTGCGCAGCCTGTCGTGGCCCAGCCACCGTTGGCGCCAACGCCTCCGCGCTCACCTGAGCAGGGTTCTGATACGGCTTAAGTAAGTCAACGTAGAAGACTGGATGCGTGCGCATCTTCTTCGGAAGGTTAAGCGTATACGCTAGGCCCTTCTTGGCCACGACCTTGAACGGCCCTATGAACCGTGGTCTCAATTTTGTCTTAAAGACTGCAGACACTGCATGAGTAGGTAGGTTTTTGGCATTTAATAAAACTAGGTCTTCGACCTCAAACCTTTCTTCATTGCGTCTGCCTTTGGCATCTGCATGTTCTTTTTGCATGTCTTGGCTTTCAGCCATAGCGTCGCGTACTTGACGCATTACGGTTAGTCTCAAAGAGACAAAGTCATCGACTTGCTTGCGAACCGCAACAGGGCTGACATCAGCTAGCTGCTCGGCTATCCCTCCCCCATCAAGCCCTGAGCCACTGCGTGGCGGCGTCAGTGGGACGCGAGGGTTAACCAAGCCGTTCACATAGAACGGAGTGTAGCCTGTCGAGGCGTGCACTGCATTATTTAATGCGAACTCAACGAGTGGGAGCATCTGGCTCCAGCGTTTTGGCGCCTCAGCGCATACGCTTCGGAGGATATCCTCCACAACGCGATTCACGCGTTCGGTTTGACCATCGGTCTGCGGATGGTCCGCTGTGGACATGTCCAAACGAGTGCCAAGCACTCTAAAGAGGGACGTCCAGAACTTCGCGGTGAAGCGCGGGTCTCGATCCGAGACAATTGCCTCAGGCAAGCCATGTTGGCGAAAGACTCGGTCTAAAAACAGCAAAGCTGTACCTTCACCATCTATGGTGTCCGGCACCGCCGCTAAATGAGCCATCTTGCTCAATCGGTCTACAAAGACCACAATACCCGTGTTTCCTGCCTTGTCCTTGGGAAGGCCAAACACAAAGTCCATACTCATGGACTGCCAACATCCCTTGGGGACAGGCAAACTCGCCAATGGCGCTGCCGTGCTCGGCGCGGACTTCGTCCGTTGACACGTCTCACACGTGCGTACATAGGTGCCGACCCACTTATACATTTTGGGCCACCAGTACATCGTGCTCACCGAGCCGTAGGTCTTCTCCCGACCTAAGTGCCCGCCCACGGGCGTATCATGAACCTCATAGAGGATTCGATACTTGAGATCCTCATCATGAGGAACGACTACACGAGGGTTATCCTCAGCGTCGGTGCTGTAGTACAGCAGGCCGCCATCGAGCGAGTATCGATGCAGCCTCGCGCGTAAGCGCCCAGACAATTCTTTGTCAGAGTCTTTAAACGCTTCGCTCCCAAGAGCCCGTAGCAGCGCTACGCACATGTCGTCTTGTGCATACGCTCCGCGTATCAAGTCAGGCACTGACGACGTCACTGTCGTGACATGAGCTAACTCGTAGTCCGGCCTGCGCGAGAGCGCATCGGCCACTACATTAAGCCGCCCCGGCTTGTACTTCACCTCGAAGTTATACTCGGCAAAGAAGGAAAGCCACCTTGCCATTCTCTAAGAGAGATGAGGCGACTGTGTCGCAGTGCGTAACGACGCATGATCAGTAAAGATCACAAAAGGCTTAGAGCCTAGCAGGTGTACCCTGAATTTGACTAGAGCATACTTCATTGCAAGTAGCTCTTTGTCATGAACTGGATAGTTCTTCTCTGCAGCTTTGAGCTGGCGAGACTCAAATGCGATCACGCGTTCACGCCCTTCGGCGTCTGCTTGTAGTAAAGCACAACCGATGGCAAAATCGGAGGCGTCACAGACGACGCTAAACGGACTATCCGGGTCCGGTAGCGCAAGGATCGGAGCCGGGAGAAGGCTCTCCTTCACAGCCTCAAAGGCTCCGTCGTGCTCGACGTTCCAGCGCCATGGTGCATCCTTCTTAAGGAGATCTGATAATGGCCGAGCCATCTCCGCGTAATTCGCGCTGTACTTGTGCAAGTAATTGGCTAAGCCTAGCCACTTGC